TCCAACACGGAGCAAAGCAGCACATGACCTACTCACATCACGATAGAACCCCGTAGACTGTTGGTTCCCACCACCCGCTGAGCCAGGGGGACACTCCGACGACCATCCGTCATCACCGACAGGCAACACAGACATCCCGAACGAGCGGCCCCCATAAGCTGTCTCTTATACACATCTAGATGTGTATAAGAGACAGCACATACACACACACACACCTTTCGGCGTTTACACACACACCTTTCGGCGTTTATCACCGATAGGGCGTTCTTCGTCACTTGTGCCATATTCAGATGTAGCGACATCAGTGCCCTCTTCAGATTGTCCCCTATCACGACGCCTCTTTCGTTGAAGACCGTGGTCTTCACCCTCCTCTCCTTCGTGCTACTCCTCGCTGCCATTGCACTCCTCTTCATCTGCTTGGCTTTTTGTGCCCCGTTCCTCTATAGCAGCCACGTTAAATTTTGAAGCTTCTCCATTCTCGGGGGCCATGTTGTTTTTTTGTGGCCTGCCTCTTGGGCGTTTTTCTTTCTGAACAACCTGCGCTGCTGTTGCTGCACCACGAGGATTTGCTCCACCACCTCCCTTCATATCCTTGCGCATATGCTCCGCTGTTCCCAAGGATCGTGCCTTCTTGCGCACTTGTCTTTGCGAACGTGAGGCCATATACATGCCTGCCTTCGTTAGTCCTCTCCAGTCCTCCTCTTGCCCATTCTCAATGGCATTCAATTCGCATGGCTCACGGCGATGATCAGCAGCCTCATCACTGCCTTCTTCACCCCCTTCATCAGCAGGTGGAGCAGCATCCTCCCCACTCGCCTCAATCCGCTTCAATCTGCGTTCAGATAACTTTGCCCGCTCAGCTTGCTCCTTCTGCTCTTCCTCATTTGGCGGGTCATCCCAGTCAATCACATCTTGACCCATCTCGGACATCTGCTGCAAGGTGTCAAGCAGGTACATAATACGTTAAAAAATAAATAAATATATATATATATGGGGGTGTAGGGCTTGGAAAACCCTACACTCTTATATTTTTGTTTTTGGAATCCGGCTTTGTTTAGGATTTTTAAGAAATCAAAAACTAAATTCGATTTAAAAAAAATAAAATTATATATATATATATATATATCGTCACAAACAGAACTGCCCGGTAAAACCGTAGGCAGAGAGAGAGAAGAGGACAACAAACGAGGGGCTGTGA